TGTCATTAGCACCTCTAGAAATATATTTACTGAGAAAAATGGTGATGTGATCAATACTTATTTTACCCGCTGTATCTCATTAATATGAAACAATGTGTTTAATGATTTTTGGTTCAAGTGTGTGGAGTTCCACAAGCCAGCTGCTTGGGTCCTCTGCTATACTGTACAGCATTTTTATAAATGATATTTTTATTTATTAAATTATTTATTTATTTACCGTTATATAACCTGGCAAGTCCCATTGAGAACTCTTTTTCAAATGAGGCCTGGAGGCAACCTATAGTACATGTTTTAGGGCTGGGGCAAATCAGAGTACCCGGAGAAAACCCACACAAGGAGAACGTGTAAACTCCACACAGAAAGACCCCAGGTCCAAACCAGGGATCGAACCCAGGACCTTCATGTTGTGAGGCGTTGGTGCTAACCACTGATCCATCGTGCCGATATGTGTTGAGTAACGCTACAACACTTGTATATGAAGATGACACAAGCCAGAAACAAGTTACACAAATCAAACTACTGGGAGTTATAACTGATCAAACAGTATCACACATTCAAAAGACATTATCTAAAATGAGTAGAAATATTGCAATATTTCGGTGTAATGCCCATCTCGTGTCTCACAGATAAGAAAATTGGTTTTGCAGTTTTGTGTCGTCTTGACTACAGTTCAGGTGTTGGTTCCTCAAAAAAGAGCTAGACAAACTGCAGAAAGTGCAAAATAAAGCTGCAGGATTAGCACTTGGTTGTAAGTTTAGAACTAATGATAGTTTCAGGTATTAAGATCTGTCAAGGAACACAATCACTACCCACCTCCAACAGACATGTTTTTTACAAGACATGCTTCTGTCAGTAGCTGCGTTTCCACCGCAAATGTGCGCAAAACTTTGTCGATATTCTGTTAATGTTGAAAAAKCACAGTTTAGCAATTGCGGTGTTTCCATTAAGTAAGAAAGGCTGTTAAAGTCACGCGTGAATACGTTTGTTCTCGCAATAATTCATTACAAACATGGCGGCAATGGATGTAAACACATAGCATTTTGCTACCACAACACTAGCGCTCATCATCAGCCATCAGAGGAAATATCAGCGTCTCACCGAGGCTTTCCAGCGACAAGCACCTACCTGGGAGCGGCTACATACAGTATACTGTGTTTTTGGGAAGTTGTAGTCGGTGATTTCACTACTACTTTTACTTCCTGTTTTCTTCTTCGTCGTCTTTTTCGCCAGTAGAAAACAGCTGGTTGTTGATCACGTGATTCCCGTGATGCGAAAAAAAGTGCTTCCATTGCAGTTTTGTGAAATACATCAATTTCGATACGGCCGAAAAACCACCTCATCCTAGCGCAAAAACATTTAATCGAAAAACGTATTTTCTCCCCCGAAATTGACATGTTTTCCATTGAGCAAATTTATTTTCAAATTTCTAATTTGCGCATTTTCATGGTCAATGGAAACGCAGCTAATTTCACATTCCCTCTGCCCAGGACTAATGCACTGAAAATATGGTTATGTATGGAGGCTTTTGCAACACGTTACCTTTATAATTGACATTTTTGGAAAATTATAATAACTTCAAAAAAGGTCTAAATCTAATATTCATAAAGAAATACCACTAAACTTATCCATTTCTTCATTTCATTGTTTTATTTATTTTTTTGCTTTTTGTATTGTATGATTTTGGAGTATTTGAGTTAGTTGTTTAGTTTCTCGGTGTTTGTGCCGGCTGTTTTGATTTGTGGTTATAAGGATTTTTAACGTGGCCAATTTTCCCCCACAACACAAAAATATGTTGCCTTCAGGCTCAGGTTGCCTTTGCAAATGAGATTTTTGATCTCAGTGGGATTTGCCTGGTTAAATAATAGTAAAATATACAAATAAATCTCAAGACTATCAAGGCATTTTTCAACTCTGAGCATGTCAGTACTTCTATTCTGAATAAAATCCTGGTGCATGTGAACCCTACATTCAGATTATTTAATCTGAATACATTTCAAACCGATCTGAGGTCCACCAGGTTAANCCTCCTTCCATATTTTCAGTTACAGGCTGAGTCATTTCTACCTTCTCCTCTCTGTCAACGCTCTCTGGTTTCATTTAAAAGTTGATTGTCAGACATTGTCCAAGATTAACCTTCAGGGTGGATATGGCTCACTCACACCGAGGACCTATCCACGTCATTGTTTACCCAGAATGCTTTATGTGTAAATAAAATGGCCCCGTCCGTGTTAAAAAAATATTTTAAAAAAATTACAAAACTAAACATCCTACAGTATTTTTACAGTCTTTATTTTAAAGTTAAAGTAAATGTTTATTAAATAAAGACTAATGTTACAACTAATCGGGGATCCCTTTAAATCTCTCCCATTGTCTCCATTTTTCATATGTTGGCAATTTATCACAATATCTTTTAAAATCCTTCTTTAATCATTGTATTACTGTTTTACAAAACCTAATGTTAGTGCTGTGGTGAATTTGCCTTTGAAGCACCTGAAAACTAGGAATATGTCAGATATCCTCAATATATCACTCTTCCAAAGGTGAAACAGTAAAACTGTAATGAGGGGTTAAGGACTCAACCTTTGATCAGTTTTTACAATAAAACTGATTGAGGTTCGTTGATGGGTTGACCAAATCCTCATTTTCCCGCCCTTTCTTTCCTGCCGCAGCTCTCCGCCCCAGCTGAGCCTCTCGCCGCCCTCCGAAGGAGCAGGATGACAAGATGGCACAGCTGCTTGTACCGCCCGGACCAGACAGCTTCCGCCCCTTCGTCCCCGAGTCGCTGTCTGCCATCGAGAGGCGCATCGCCGAGGAGAAGGCCCGGAGACCGCGGTCGGCGCGCCGCAGCGACGACGACGACGAAAATGGACCCAAGGCCAACAGTGACCTGGAGGCGGGGAAATCCCTCCCCTTCATCTACGGGGACGTCCCTCCCTCCCTGGTGTCAACTCCTCTGGAGGACCTTGACCCCTACTACAGCAATCAGAAGGTCCTTTTCCACACTTTCAAAGCAAATATTTGTGAAACATGGTTGAACACTTCTAAGAAAAGGCTTCTTTTGACCCGACGACATTCAGTGTTACCAGTAATTATGAGTCTAGATCTTAATTATAGCATGACTCAGACTTCACAGGTCTGCACTTTCTTCTTTAAGCTTTGTAGTTAAAGCTGGAAGCTAATTACCCAATGGCCTCAAAAAAACTTTAAAGGGGCAATATTATGTGTTTCTCAGGCATACATTTAAATACTATACCATA